CAAAGCCGTTACTTCGGCTGAATTGAAATGTTCTGGTGGACGTTGATGGCCGAACACACACCAGCGGCGAGGACAAACGACGACGACTTCGAAATCGTGAATCATTCGACGGGACCCAGACACATCTTCTAGTTGAGCAAACCGAAAATCCTCACGAGAGGTGAGCCGTGAGCGATTTGACTCACATCTTTTAGGCCAAAATCTGGCAGCAAACGAGATGTTCTCCTTTCTCTGTATTCAGTGTTCAGACATTGTCTGGACAGAGTAATTTATCACGCGGGAGGGGGAAGTCGTCACTCTCGACAGTCGAACCGAACTCCATTGCTCGCGCTTAATGGAGTTATCAAGAACGTCAGCACATTGCACGGAGAATATTGTTTTACATGTCTGGAACGATGTTCATTCGGAAAACAGCCTGCAAATGTATGGAAAACTAGTTTGGACATGTTTCTTGAAGCCTAAACGTAGCATATGGGAAGGACGGAATATGCGACCCAACTTCCCATATTACTTATCACTGCCATCTGATTCTTACGAAAGTAGTATCGTTTAACCTGGATGCGCTGATTGCCTTTTTCAAGATAGCAGATTTTCGCCTAAATATTACATTCAGCTTATCTGTCGATTGGTATGCTTTACCTTTGCTAGCCACCTTGGCGGCTTCCCTGTGTTCCGCTGTTCTGTCTCATCATGTCGTGCCGTTGGGTCAACGTTTCCATTTCATTATTATGGGGTTCGCCAACGTCATTCGTCCTTGGGTTTCCATTGACTCTTTCGTCGCCTTGATCTCCAAACTTGGTGTTTTATTGTGCGGGCGCTATATTTAGCTCCCTTTAGGTTTTTGATGCTAAATTTCGCCAATATTCAATTTTCTGGGTCGCTTTCAGAGTCATGCACGAATCTAATTGAACCTACATACGGAATTTAAACCTCTTTTCAAAGCTTCATCCTTTTTCACTGTTCCCTTTCCTGTCCCCTGGCCCCACCTATATAACTCCTATTTCTATCGGTCCCGTAAGATACGAAGACCTATGCTTCGCATTCTGGATGGGGTCTCATATTGCGTCGTTGCCTAGCGTATTTTCGGTTGAAGTGCCTGCACTAGGATTTTAACCAGCGTATGAACCTCATCACACGCAGCAATGAAGAAGCGGTCTACTTAACATCATTGCGAAGGTGCACTTAAGCAGACTTTTGTTCGCCTGGAGAAAAACTCGACATCCATGATAAGTCCGACCTCAAAATAATGCGATGACGTTGACCAGCGCTGAATATAGTCGGCTGGAGTTCGACATACCGGGGGTGGATGGGGTGATTATCGTCTGCCGCAGACACTTGAAAGGCAGCTTCGCCAATTAGTTCGGCCAGACAAAACGCCGGTTCGAGAGCGAACTCATCTATGAGGCCTTCTCTTACATGATGCGGTCGCCTCTGTAGTGGTCAGTTATGGCAGAGTCAGATACGGAGAATCGCTTGGCGTGACAACCCTTGAAATTTGTTGGAGAAATGTCAACTGTGTGATGGTCATGCGTCTCTTGCACCCGCTTTATAAACATTGAGGTCGGTAAATGGGGAAAATTATAAAATGAAATGTAAACTGTGTGTGCCCTTCCTTGGTTTCACAAATAAAGGAAACAGTCGCACATAAAAATTCATTTAATTCATCGTAATTCAGATGAAACAATATATAAATAGGCAGGGTATATTTAGAAAATGAAGTGCAATAAAAAGCAGTGCGAAAGAACCAGAAAAAAAATCATATTAGCGCCGCTCGAGCATGATAAGGTAAAAGAGCACATCTAAAATGCAGTGAGAAATACAACGATCCTAAAGAGATCGCCAGGATAGAAAGACACGCAGATAAGCGCACTACGCTGCATCGTGTGTTTTAAAAAACCAGCGGGATGAACTGCATGTTCAGCAGCTCTGGATGACGACCTCGATCATACTGCGACGAGAAAATGTGGGCGTTGCCGTCAGAATATTTCGTTAAGATTCGTTTGGAAGGATCCAGGCGAGGTGGCGCTTGATGCTACCCGCGAGAGTGAAGCATGTGCTCGCAGGGCATGGCGTGCACATGGCGTCATCGATCGATGGCATGATGCCTGATTGATTCCCTCGCAGACTTGAATGAAAAAACTGACAAAAGATCAGACATGAGATTTGGCGCACGCATCTCACCTGCTTTGTCCGCAGCCAAGCTGGATCCCTACCTGTGGATTCTGAGAGGACTGTTACTCTCGCGTTGTAGATGTCTTCGTGAAGACGGCACCTGCACGAAGGCAGCGCTTAAGGCGCAGTTTTCCAAGTGGTTGAAAACCAACATTCGCCGACATTCTCGGCGCCACTGCCATCAGAGACCAACGTCGCAATCGGTGACGAGTTCGTCGTCTTCCGGGCTAAAACACAACACAGTAGCGTTGAATTTGGTAGAAATAACAGAAGACGAGGGTATGCCCACAGAGTATTGCATTCCGATGCCACCCAGTCAACTGGATCCTCCAAGGGCTGTTTTCGCTAGACCCCTCTATCCTCACCTCGTAGAAGACTCGGACGGCGGAGGGAAGGCTGACAGCCCACTCTCCTGGTGTCAGGTAGGGCATCATTCCACATTTTCTAGACGCGTTCAATTCAGTTTAACCAGCGAATCTGGTGGGTTCCTCTCCCTTGGAAGACCTGTAGATTCAGCCCACCAAGACTTCGCATTTGCCAATTTAGACGTTCTCACGTGGGACTCTTCTGCGAACATAAAACGGAGCGCCTCGAAGAGTAGGCTTTATTCCAAATTTGTCCTGCAGTGATAATTTTAGCCTTTTGTTCTAGTTGTCTCTCCTCCTCCTCCTCTTTTGTATTTAGTGTCGGTTTAGTGAGTTTGCAGTGGGCAAAGGCTTCGCAGTTGGGGCCCCACCCTTGTGCGAACAGCTGCACTCCTGAATCCTGCTACCCACCCCCTATGTTGAAGATAGAATCTCCCGGACACTTCCCCACCGGTGCCGGTATCGGATCAGTCGTGACCAAGTTTCGTAGATGGGGCTTCTCCACGCTCGGACTAATCCTCACTGTGGGCCTCTTGGCTCTCAGTCTACCATTGGATATTCCTCCTCACCCCTCATCTATAATCGGTTTTCAGGTCTGTAGACTGGGTCCACAACCCATCTGAGGAGGGCTCGTGAGTGGTTCTATCAGCGTTTGAAGACATCTGTACATATATGTGTATGAACGCCTGTAAATACGTTTGCTGATTTTAAAGTCAACCTGTTGTTCGCTATGTACATATGTAAGTAGTTTTTACGTCGCGCGTTCATGTTTTCTGACTATGCTGTAGGCAGTTATAAATGAATATTTCATTCTTTTGTAAACTCATTTACTTTTTAGTGGAATGTCAGTTAAGTAAGTGAACTATAAGAGCGGAGAGACCTTTGAAAATTTGAATGATAATCGACGCGGGGAGGAAAGCACGGGTTTCCTGAATAGTCCACCACAAGCACAGTCAGAGTAGGCAGTGGTGGACACGACACTTCGACCGTAGTTGTCGAAGATGTCCACCGTGTCATTTACATCAGGGTGAGGGCAGGGATGGTGACTTTTGCGCGAATTAGTTTAGCGTTTGTAGACTTGTACAGCATCTACCGCACACTACCTTACTCCCCCTCCTGTGTCCTGTCTCTAGACCGAGTCTAGAATACCGAAGGAAGGGAAAGGCGCACACTAATCGCGCGACCGAGCCTGCAGCTTGACGCTCCATTCCACTCCCCCCTGGTTCATAGCAAATGACCGGGACATTAATGGATAACAAAACGCTGGTGCGGCAGGGTCCCTGTGTGCGCGACACCTGTAGTCAACCGATTCTGTTATTGTGTGCATTCTCATTATGCCTGCCGGAATCTGATATGGTTCCCGTATTGATCCAGCATACAGTGCGTGACCTATCTCATGAAATGTTGGCTGAAATTCTGAAATACGTTTTCGATTAGGAAGGATTACTTGGTCGCGGTTGCGATACTGATTATCATAAGGCATACTCTTATAATATTTTGGACTCGGCAGGATGTCAGCTTTAAAATACACTTTTTTCAATCTCCTGTAGAAAGCGTGCTCGGTAAAAAATGACTACTTAAGTAGCAGGCGTTTTTCCTATTGATTTTCGATGGTCTTGGAAATTCAAATATATTTTATGGAAACCACAAACAAAAATATGCTTCCTGTTAGAGAATCAATAGAGAATCACGTCTTCTTTATATTTTATACTTAAGGAAGGAGTATAATTAGGTTTTAAAAAGGTTTTCTAATTGCCGAAAACTTTGGAGTTTGATCATTCAGTTCAGTTCAGTTCAGTTTAATTGAGGGAAATATAGGTGCTTAGTGATTACACTCTACAAGGTGCATGCGTTCCGCGTAAAGAAAATCCCATATTTTTCTATGCAATTAAAGAGATATTATACAGGGTCCATAAAATATTGCAATGGATGCAGACCATGTTGTACATTTCATGAGAAGCAGAGGTAAACGGCCAGGTACGATGCTATGTGAATGGGCATATCGCGGTCTTAAAAAGTCCCATAATTAGAAACTTTTTTAAAACCTAATTATACTCCTTCCTTAAGTATAAAATATAAAGAAGACGTGATTCTCTATTGATTCTCTAACAGGAAGCATATTTTTGTTTGTGGTTTCCATAAAATATATTTGAATTTCCAAGACCATCGAAAATCAATAGGAAAAACGCCTGCTACTTAAGTAGTCATTTTTTACCGAGCACGCTTTCTACAGGAGATTGAAAAAAGTGTATTTTAAAGCTGACATCCTGCCGAGTCCAAAATATTATAAGAGTATGCCTTATGATAATCAGTATCACAACCGCGACCAAGTAATCCTTCCTAATCGAAAACGTATTTCAGAATTTCAGCCAACATTTCATGAGATAGGTCACGCACTGTATCTACCGTGCGGCCCGATAGGGGGCAAAACACACACAGACACATATACGCATACATGATAGTTCAATCGTCGATTTCGGCGATGTCTACCGTGTGCCCCACAGCAGCAGCAACAGCAGCAGCGGTGGGAGCAGGGACGGTGACTTGCGCTTGTAGAGATGCACGATGGTTGCGTCTTTGAAAACTTGCGGAACTCAGTCTTGACGCCACATCTCCTGGAAAGGCGCAGTCAGGTGATCCATGAGTTTGGGGACCTCCGTACTTGTAGACCTCAGCAGGGAACGCGTCCGATCCGGGCACTTTTCCGCTGGAGAGCTGCTGCCCGGTCCTGATGGTTTCCTGGAGAGATGGCGGGGTGTCGAGGTCCACGTTGGTCTCCACTTGCGGCAAATGGTCGTTGTCGGCGTCGAAGATGGCGGAGGGGCGATTGAGGACGCCTCGGAAATGCTCGGCCCATCTCTGTAGAATTTGTGACATCTCAGTCAGGAGGGTACTGCCGTCGGCGCTGTGGAGCGGAGCAGTGCCCTTCGTCGGCGGACCGTAGACAGCTTTGATCGCGGAGAAGAAGTTCTTACATTCGTTGCGGTCCGCGTATCCTTGAATCATCTAAGCTTTGCGAGCAGTCCAGGCGTCCTGCATCTTGTGCAGTCGTTGCTGAAGGTAGCGGCGACTGCGGTAGAAAGCAGCTTTGTTGTCGTCGGTGGGGTGGTCTACTTAGGCTTTGTGTAGGCGGTTCTTCTCGACGAGCAGGTCGCTGATGACGGCGCTATTGTCGTCGAACCTGTCCTGATGTTGGCGGCGTGCGCGACCGAGGACGGCTAGCACCGTCGACTGAATCGTGTCCCGCAGTTAACACCATCGGTTCTCCGCGGAGGCGTTCTCGTCAACGGCGGCGACAACGGCAGCGACCGGAAGGTTGTCTAGCCGTTGAGCTAGCTCATTGCTGAAATGGAGATGGTGAGCGGACAAAGACAACAAGGCAATATTCAGCTTTCCTGGGGATCGCTTACCTTGTGGTCTCCTGCGAGGCTGTAGGCGAATACGCATCTTCGAGATGACGAGGCGATGTTGCGTCCACCCTTCAGCGCCCGCGATCGCCTTTGTCACCAGCACGTCCCGATGATCTCGCCTCCGAACGAGGACATAGTCCAGCAGGTGTCACTGACGCGACCGAGGATGCCTCCAGGTGGCCTTCTCTCGCTCCGGCAGACGGAAGAAGGTATTCGTCAGGATGGGTTGTTGTTCTGCGCAGGTACGGAGAAGGAGCAGGTCATTGTCGTTTGAGTCGCGGAGACCATGGGGACCCAGCACTCCTCTCCAGGCAGCATGGTCTGTGCCGACGCGGGCGTTGAAGGCACCAAGGACAATCAACTTGTCCGCCTTCGACACAGCCGCCAAGAGGGCGTGCAGGTCCTCATAGAATTTGTCTGTTGCGGTGTCGAAGCTGCTCATAGGCGGAGCGTAGGCGCTGATGATGGTGGCAAACTTGCCTCCTCGCCGGAGAGGCAGGCGGAGGCTCATCAGGCGATCGTTGATGCACTGCGGCAGACTGGGCAGTCGTCCCACGATGTCGTTCTGGATGGCGAAGACGACGCCCGCGTCTCGTCGCTCTGCCTTGGGGCGACCGCTCCAGAAGAAGGTGTAACCGGCACCCATCACCTCCAGTTGGCCTTGTTCGGAGAATCGGGTCTCGCTGAGTGCGGCGATGTCCACCTTGTAGCGTGCCAGTTCTCGTGCCACTAGCGCTGTCCTCCGTTCCGGTCGGTTGCTCCTTGGATTGTCTAAAAGGGAACGAACATTCCAGGCTGCCAGAGTGAGCGGACTCACTCTGCCAGTCTGGCGATTGGGGTGCTGGGTAGGAGAAGAAAAAAACAGGCGGAATGAGGAAGAGTCAGAAAGATTGTTGATGTTTCGGTTTTATCTGATTCGACCGTGTGCTTTTCGTCTGCGGCCGCGGTCAACCTTCAGACAGCGTGGCTCCTAGCAAGTTGCAGGGCACCTTTTCTACCCCCTTCCCCCTTGTGGGGCGGGTGGCACACCCCCTAAACAGGGCTGTCCGGTTATCCGAGACAGCTGCCTAACTCCACTATGGGCCACGACTTTTCGTTAGTGAGAGGACGACCCGAAGTTACCTGTGACCTGTGGGTTCAATTGCCACCTGTCTCCTGTGGTGTTCCAGACGGAGCCTCATCTCGACGATGCTGACGCAAAGATCCATCCGGCTAGCGGAGTCCGCAGTATCGTGCGTGCACGTACCCACACGGATACTCTCACCTGGGTTAGCCCGCCGGCCGAGGCCGTCGCCGGGGTGTGGCTGCTAGACAGAGCCTAGCTTCGGGTAGCTACATGTGAGATTTGGATGCCAGCAAATGGACACTAGGAGTAGTCTGCAACTGCAAGCAAGTGAGCGACTTACTACGACCGTCACGTGAACCCCCCGCCGGACATCCTTACATCCAACACACAGGTTTCGTTCTATGATTGTGCGTTGTTAATGACAACGATTTCTTCATCGGTGTCGGTTCGCCAATACTCTTAGGCAAAATTGCAGCATCAAATATGAAAGGAGGATGTCAGTTCGCTTGCCGATAGTGTACGAGTAGGACCACGACTCAAGTACTTTGTGACCCACAGGGTTGCCGCTTCTCACTAGAATTTAGACTTCGTCTAACTTGGAGGTGGATCTGGTCCCGTAATAAATTCCCTGGTCGTATCCTTAGGATAGTCTTGGTCTCTCCATCATCGGAGACATTCCCCATCAGTAGTAACGGCAGCAATGGCAGCGGCGACGGCGGCGGCGGCATAATTGTCATCAGAATATGATGCAGGCGCTCACCCATATGCTATCCAACTTAGCCATGTGCCAATCTGACGCGGCCGGTGATTTACATCCGATCAATTAAATTACCAGCAGCATCACTGACTTACCGTGTGACCCAAAGACTTTTGATTCCAGGTATAAACGACACGGGCATCGGTTCTCTGTTTCTCTGACAAATGTGACTCCTACTGCGCATATTACTTCCTGCGGGATGCGTCATTTGTTTAAGAGTAGACGCACAGTCCTTTCCACAACACTCCGTGTATGCAAATTGAATGCAGTTGGACACTATATTTCCGTCAACTTACGCTATTGAATTTGCTTATTGTGTCCTATTTATTAAGCTTTTTCCAGCGCGTGAGGGATTCATCATGTAGCGCCAGTGATTAAATAATGCGCAGGAGCCCCTGTTGCATAGCAATAATGTTAGTTTTGTAAATGGACGATGCTATCTACCGAATGCAGTGGTACAACGGGCACTTGTGTCAGGTATCTTCTACTGGTGCTGGAATAGACAGCGCAGTTTAATAAATGCGAATAAAAGGTGTGCTAGCAGGCAGAAAGCCGGCAGTACAAGAATATTTTTAAAGACCGAATTAAGTAAGACGGCATGCGGCATGCAAACTTAACCCTAGCCCTAACCGTAATTCCAAGCCCAATCTTTGACCTTAATCTAAGCTGAAACGCAACCCCAACATTGACCTTGAGCGTCATAATTTTCGCAAGCTTAGACACAAAATTAGTCCTAGCAAAACATGTATACTTCAGTGAACTAAGCAGGCATGGTATGCTGACAAATAGTAGAGGCTACCTATTCGGTCGTCGCCGCGGCCTGCTAACTAAACTTCCGTGGATCATGGAGGACATTACGGTTATTGAGGGAGGGGTCGCGATCTCATGCACACTCTCGCACAAAGAACGACTTAACATGCCATGTTAATTACCATCTCTCCCTATGTGGAAACAGTGGAAATAGACCGCATCGCCGGCCCTCAAGGTGCAAGGAGTCTTGGGGAGACTGAGGAAAACGAGGGGTCTTATCTATTGGGTATGGAATTTGTCGATTAGACCGAAAATAGACCTACCCCGACAGCAATAAACTTCATGCCTTAATTTGTAAGACGAGCATTATAGTATATTGCGCTCTGGTGGGCTACAAAAAGGCATTTTCGAGACAGTTCGTGTGTGAGAGTGTGTGTTTAGTGGTAGGAACAAGTTCGAAGCTTCCGCGCAGACTCGTAAATACTTAAAATTGCCCTTACAGCTCACAACTACGCGCTACCTTCATGATAAGTTATCCGTCGAGACAATGGTGTTTGCTGTCCACATTGGAGATTAAGCTTCCCATGCTGGTAGGCAGCTAACCTCTCTACCTCCAGCTTCATATATGCTTACTGAGCTGGAATCTCTCATTTCCTCATTTCAGATATACCATCCGGTGTGTGCTGCTGCGGTTGAGAGCTTGCCTAGGTTACATGCTCTGCATGCAAAAACCCGCATGATTGGCTGCCAGGAAGGGAGGTTCGTCTTATCTAATCGGCGACCGTCCTATTAGGTGGCACAAATGTCGGCACCGCACTGGAGATGCGGATGTGGGAGGCATGCGGGAAACGAAAGAGCCAGTAGATGTCGGTGGCCGTTCCCCACGCAGTCGGCGTCCCCAGCGCCACTGATACGAGACACACGCTGCTTTGTGCTTAGGGGCTTGGCTTTGTGTTAGCACATGTCCCGCGTTATACATAGGCCACCTTTTGGTTCACAAAATTTCTTCGGAAGGAAGATTTCCTTTTATAACAGAGCTGATTTTGTTCGCTGACACTCCTCTTCTCCTTGAGTGCTTCGTGGAGGCATTTTGAATACTTTCTAAATCCAAGGCGAAATCGATGTCTCATCAGATCGGCAGAATTTCCTGAGTGCCGCAGTCTCGTAAAATTAGGATATCATCATCAATGGTTTCTCAGACTAACTCCGGCGATGCCAAATTGGCCTATGGGCCGTCTGCACAGATGGCCAACGAATGCTGTAACAGGCGTCTTCCGGCCTTTCCTAAGCATATCATCCCACATCATAAGTCGAGATAAGTCAGTCTTCAGCGGGACATAGACGAGGTGAACCATGACTAGTAGGTCGGAAAGTTTAATTACTCATGTCATCATAAAACCTTACTTTAGAGGTAGGTTTGTAGTGTCTAAGTAGAGAGCAGCCGGAGTGCTACAATCATGAGGCCAAATCTCATGTACTACGACATAAATCAGCAGAATGTGGGGTTTGTTTTGTACAGAACCCTCAATTGCCCTCTTAGGCGGCAGAGTTCGATGCCTTTGCAGGTTTGTTAGGCGATCGAAAGTCCTGTCCAATTCGTGTGTGCTGCATTTTTCGAGGGGTGGCGTTTGAATGGCTCATGTTTTAATTGCAGGGGAAGTAGGTTCAAGGGGCGCATGGGCGACTGCGACTCTGCCGACGCGTGTGCGTCCGAGTCGAAGTCGGTTGATTGGCTGCAGATCAGCGTGTCTGGGACCGTCCACTTGACGTCCCTTGACTCAACGGGGCCAGACCTGGCCGTGGTGGCTGTCGGCAATAGTTTCTGGGCTGGGCGTAACCAATGGAGTATGCAATGCAATGTGGAGGTGACTCGTCGGTCAACATTCACAGAGGTGAATCGCCGGAGTTTGGACGATCCACTTTTACGATCATACAGTCATGCGACAGTTGTTCCCCGATCTGCATTTATGTGCGCTCAGTCAGTTGGTGAAATGTTATCTCCACAGAATCCACGGAAATACGACTCGTTTCTAGGTTTCACAGCCTCATAGAAATATTTGAGACAGAAGTTTAACTTCTTCGACTTCTTATAGAAGCGACATCCACTCATTTGCCGAACAATGCTGACCAACCTTCTGAATAGACCATGGGCCTCTTAAATATATCCGGCTTCAGTCAGGCCAGGAGCTGACCCCTGAAATGGGTGTGAACCATTTAGGCGATTTGACACATAATGTTGGTTAAATGATCGAAATCAAACAGATATGTAAACAAAAGAAGAAATGAAGTGGACAGCTATAAAGTTACGCCAGCATAGTCACGCGCGCCCACGCCACGACAAAGTAAACCGTAATGGCTCCGTCCGCGTGAGACACACACAGCGCGACAAGCTCACCAGCCAATCAAAGCGGAGTCCAAATGGGCAGCTGACCGATGAGAACGATATGGGCGTATATCTCGAAAAGCGGCTATAAAAGTATGTCGCGTCGAGATCGACATACTATCAGGGTGTTCATGGAGAACATCTGCAGATGTTCCCTGTGAATGATCTTAATGGGCACATAGTGATACATTTTTTGTGTACGACGAATAAAATCGTCGTCTTTCCTACTCGTGAACCGTTTTGATCCACTCTGCTTATTTCTGGGTAAGGTCCTATCACTAAGTATTCGACATAGAGTAATCTCACAAGTATTAAAACTACTTGCTAACGACTCACGCGACAACCCTTTCCTTGCCCATGTTCGTATTATTTCATAATCGACTGATAAAAGACATTGTTTGGACATCTTTATCGCACGGCGTGAGACAGAAAAGTGACAGCACGTTGCGCGTACTCAACGTATGTTTGTTTACGCCTAGTAGTTCTCGGTATGGTAAAACAAAATGTTGTTGAAAAAGTTTCTTATTAATTTTTTTTGACACGAAACGCCATATATTTATAAAAAGAATTTTGCAGGTTGATTCTGGCCTTTTTTTTCTTTAGAACGATAAAATTTCTCACACCCATTCTCATCCAATTTTCATTGAAGCAAAAGAGGGTCATACGTTTCCATAAGGTATTTATTTCGTACGTTTCCTGTTCATAATAATCTTCGTTTACAGCAGAATTCACGTAAAAATGATGTTTGATCCGCAGACTTCCATAGCGTAGGAAATTAGCTGGATATCAAGGAAAGTCGGATTTTGCTCATATCTGGCCAAAATGTAGTAAGAACGTGCGATTCAACCCTTATGAATTTCATTCTGCCTTCCTATGGAGCCGGAAAATATCATTGGGCCCCACAGAAAACGTCTTGTGGGAATTATTTCGACTGCCGGACTGGGCGTTAAATTCAAATTATTTTCCGTAGAATACACTCTTCATCCATGGAAGGACAGCCGTGACACTTCGCGAATTCGCCCTCCGCCGCATTCAACCACACATGTCAGTCAGCTCCGTGTTAGAAATGCGACCTTCTGAGAAACATGATATTGGATAACTACGTCAAAAAGGAAGGCAAACGGCAGATTACTTTGCTTATGGCAACGTACGAATGGCAGAACAATTAACACTTACGAATTTTGATCACATCAGAATACTCTCATCTTTTCGCGGTACCTCCTTATTAGGTTATTACACCAGTATCGACAGTGGTCAAAGGTAACACCAATTCACAGAGCTAATTTACCAAAAAGTAGAGACCCCAGTTTTCTCAATTCATAAGCTGAAATTTTGGATTCGATATGTCGATAAAGCCTTCGTTATCATTAAGCGGGGAATGTTCCAAGAACTCCATAATATCCTGAACTCTGTTGACCCTGACATCCAATTCACATTGGGACCGGAAATCAACAACCCACTGCCGCTCCTGGACGTTCTCGTCCATCGAAAACCCAATGGGCGCCTAAAAATAACGATATAAGGGAAGGTCACAATTAGACGACAAATCCTGAGTTAACACAATAAGCACCCGTTATGACCCAAACGCAATTTAGGACAAGGAAACGATCGCGTAGCCGGGGGAAACATGCGAGGCCTGGCACACGGAGACTACTTCTGTCGATCGTTGTGTGGCTCTTCTCGTTGCCCATCAAGCCCTTGATGCGCATTTCGGTAAACAAATGAGCAAACGCGAACCCAGGCTAAACATGAATGCAGACATAGGCGAGTCCATGGCGGATGTACACTCAGCCGTCACACAACCTGGGTCCGACGAAAGCGCAGTCGTCACTACTGCCATGCCATCTACCTGTCCGGCAACCACGAAAACGGACAGTCGTAGCAGTGTTAAAAATTCTGTTGCCTTGGATGCCAGCTACGGTCAACAAAGGTACGAACGACCACCACCAAAGTCTCAACGCCACCCCCCGGTGTAGATGTAGTACATTCCGTCACCCTCCATCCCCCCGTACGCCACAGTCTCTGTGTGCATGCGGATGGTGACCGCCAAAGCCGACACACCATATGACTCCCTAGGACGACCTCTCTCTCCTGTCCTCCCTGCCGCCCTAACTGCATATGTGAAGCCAGTCTTAATATGACTGTCACCTACTGATGAATACTGTGAGGCCCGATGCCATGCTCAAATCCGACGATGGAAGCTTGTTTGCCTCTGAAACATTAAGAAAGTTAAACTACGGTTCCCGAGATCGCCTTCTCTTCTCACTTATGTCCGGGGCGCGCTTAAGTCAGTTTATTAAGGGAATGAGGCTTTCGCCCTTGAGCACCCTGTTCATGTCGATAAACAAAAATAAAGTCATCAATTACATCAGCAAATGCGAAAAGTTAAGAAGTTAGCGGTAAGTGTGAGCCAGGCGCAAACTGCCGCCGCTAAAACAATCATGGTTGTATGTACAGTAGGTTCTCAACAAGTGAGCGTCTAGTCTGCACTTAAAGGATTTAACACTTTCGGAAAGAACGACGGCATCAGGGAGTCCATTCCATGCCCCGATGACCCTGTGTGAGAAGGCGTTCCGTCGGACGTCCGAATTAGCCCGCTTCCTTTGCAGTTTGAACGGATGACCACGCAGACGGTCAGTTCGGGCCAATTCAAAGAATTCATCAAAATCTAGGGCACACTCTCGGCTTCTGACAATCCTGTAGGTTTGAATGAGATCGCCGCGCAGTTGCCTGTAATTTAGAGGAAACAGATTTAGTTCAGTCAGCCTGGTTTCGTAAGGCAAATGATGAAGATTCTTGACCATCTTCGTAGCCATCGCCTGTACTCTTTCCAGTCGTTGATAATCTTTCTTCAACCACGGTCGCCAGGCCTGGACTGCATACTCTAAGTGAGACCGGACGAATGCCCCATAGGTTTTTCCGAACAGCTCCTTGTCGATCTGCACAAATCCTCGCCTCAGCGCAAATAGCACTCTTATCGCACTTTTGGCTGCCCTTTGACATTGTGAAGATGGTTTCAGCGAGGAGGTCATTAGGACTCCCAGGTCCTTCTGTTCCACAACATTTGAAAGGGACTGACCACCAAGGACATATTGAAAGGAATCGTCCTCCTTACTGGTCTGTCTGGTGCGGAGTCTCAGGATTACACATTTGTCCACATTAAAATTGAGGAGCCAGCGAGCTGACCAACTGTTTAGGCGGTTGAGACTGTCTTGAAGCGCGTACCTGTCTGCATCAGATCTGATGGGTCTCCACAGCTTAACATCGTCAGCAAACATGATGGCGCTGCATCCCAGGTCGTCGACGCAGTCGTTAATGTAAACCAGGAATAGCAACGGCCCTAAGACGGAGCCCTGGGGTACACCACTTAGAACGGGAGTAGGAGTTGACCTTGAGGCCTCAATGCACACGGTTTGCGATCTTCCGTTAAGAAAATCTGTTATCCATGTCAGCAGCCTTCCTCTTATCCCAATTTCAGAAGGTTTGTAGATTAGGCGTTTGTGTGGGACGCTGTCGAACGCCTTCTTAAAGTCTGTGTATATGACATCAACCCTCCCATCCTCATCCAGTGCGCGAGTCCACTGCTCCGTCGAGAGCAATAAACTGGAAAGACACGAGCGGTTCTGTCTAAAGCCGTGCTGCAGGTCTGAGATTAAATGGCCCTGCTCCAGGAACTCCATAGTTGCTTTCTTAACTATGGCCTCCATTATTTTACAGCAGATGCAGGTTAGACTAACAGGCCGGTAATTGTTGGCATTAGTGCGAGCCCCGCCCTTGTATATCGGAAAGATATTTGCTGTCTTCCATTCCGATGGCAACCTCCCTAATTCGAATGACGAGCGGAAGATGTGCGCCAGTGGTTTGGAAAGTTCATTCGCCAGTTCCTTCAAGAATTTGGCCGGTATATTGTCCGGACGCGAGGACTTTGCTTCTTTGAGATTTTTCAGCTCCCTTTCCACGGCAGCTGCCGGGAAGAGTATGGAGTCAAGCACGGGACCAACAGTCTCAAGAGCATTGCCGGCACTGCGACAGCGAAACTCTGTTTCTCTAGTAAAAACGGAGGCAAAATACTGTCCTAAGTGTTCGGCTTTCTCGTTGTTCTCAATGATCTCTACACCATTATCATCCTTCAGCACCGCTTCTTCGCTTCTACTATCAATATGCCTATCTCGACATTTTGACGTAGAGCCAATGTTCTATTCCTGTTATTCTTTGTACTCTTCGTACCGCACCTTTCCTCCTCTTTCTTAAGCTTACTTTGTTTGCCGTTTCCCACATCATTCATTTGTCTGCATGCGATAGGCGACTAGCAGCAATATAACCTTCAGCTTACTTAATTTCTCCTGAGTACTCTAATGATTGGCTTAGGCTATTTTCACGGCTTTTTATAAAGATGTCCCAATAATCCATAAGATAACGGATTTGGGTGACTAAGAGATTTAGTATATGTTGGCATCTCCATCTTTGTGGAATCTCAGTAAGTGGTTTATATGCGCCTATTTCTTTGCCGCGGGATTGGAGGCTCGTCGTTTTCTGTACGAGGGCGGGACTATTACTTTTTTTTACAATTTTCTTAGCGAAGGCTTCGTAGGAACTAGTATACAACCGTCGAATTTAAGTGTGATGTTACGCGTAGAATGTGTCATTTCTTAATTCGTCGTTCAAAATACGATTATTAGCACAATAACAACCTGGGACCACACAGGGGACTGCACTGCTGGTAACAAGCACATTGCTAGTACGGAGATCTTCGATTGCTGCTAATAACCCGACATTGTAATCAACATGACAGGCAAAAACGCATTTGCACGAGACTGCGTCCCGCAGTAGACTAGCCATGAGCTCTCGACGTCGTCTTATAGGGGAATCTGCAGCCTGCCACTTAGGTCAAGTCTGGCAACGCGGCCTCCGGGTGCTCCTGCAGCTTATACACCCGTCGCACGCCCTCAGCGCCGCTCGCGGTCTCTGCGAGCATGTAGACTAGGGCGTCGCATATGTCAACAATGCGTAGTGACCCACTGGTGCATATTTGCTCATTGTTAGGCTGTGTCTTCCTGATAGCCATCGACCCGTTGAAAACTGGCTTATTAGTATTGTGGAGTACTTATTGTGTTAATGACGCGCTAGTCATTTGCCATCGAGAGTGCGTATTTCGCACATTGTTTAAACGACAGAAATCCCTCCCAGGGGGTTATTGTCCTCTTCTGACCTGCTCAGATAGCATTCATGTGTATCGTACACGAGAAGGACGGAATACAACTATTTATGTAAAAAAGCTCCTACCGCGCCTTGTTTTTATACCAACGTTTAGGTCAACTAGGCTACTAAATTTCCACTCGAAGATAAATTTAATTACTTGTCGAATTATTTCGTCTTTGGGTCACCCAGATACTTCTGCACCGTAGAATGTAACCTTCAGTTTTTGGACCGTTCTGCAACGGAGACGTGTACCCCTCCCAAACTTTGGAGCCAACTGCCATAGTCACATCCCTGAGCGAGGACGGTTTTTCTGATTTTCTGGGCCAGAGATTGTTTGACCCCTTGAAGCGTAATAGGATATTAGCACTACTTGCCTTTAACTTGTACTTATCATCCTTTGACGCTTTTTGAATTAAAGTTTGACCCACCGACCACGTCTTTGCGATAAATGCTCGGCTTTATATGTCTTATGTACCGACATTCGTTTATGAGATTTTATAGCTGCTCTCAGCGGCATGAGAGAATACATGTCGCGAAGGTATACGGCCCTGGATTTTGGGGTCTTTCGTGCTTTTGTGTGTACCAATTCGTTTTTGTCCTTGGAGTTATTTATTTCACATTGATGAAGCGCACTAGTGTTCATTGTCCTCGAGGGCTTCGGGATTAGCTTTTCCATTTTAGTTGCCTTATCTGATTTGAGAATGTGCGCCAACTTAGTACACTTTGACCTGTGAAGAACAAAGATACGAATCCACTGCTGCGTAATCGGAAATCCACCGGATCTTTCCAATTATGCTTATATATTTGACAGCCAAGTCTAAAGTCCATACTTAGGAAAAAAATGTATCAACTCTTGTTCACCCACGATTTGTAGTTTTATTTAATCCCCTCTGCGATAGATAAAACGGTCGACCACCTCGTCTTCTCCAAAGCTGAGGGAGACTGCTTTCTGCGTGTAGCTCTGAAATATTATATTTCAAGCCACACGTCAATAGTTAAGGCAGATTGTCATCCAGAGATCCTAATCCATATTATATATTTCATACTTTTCGTGAATTACACTGGTGGGTGAAAATATGGTTAAATTGCGACTTAAGTCTGACTCTTCCCTTCTGATTTCGATAACCACATCTAGAAATGCATTCCGTTTCAAGCAGTTTTCATGCCGCTCGTAGTCTTACAAGGCCACTTCGAAATATGTTAATTGTCTCAAGGCATGTATCTATGCGCATTTCATGATGGAGGTCAACTATCTGTTCGGGCCTTCATTTCGCACTAGTTTATGACACCCAACATCTGACCTCGGCGTCCCTTACTTAAGGGAGAACAAGTATTTTAGGATATTCAATCGAGCAGTACTCTTGGGAGCATAAACAAATGACAAAAACAGGAATTTATGAGTCCTTGTCACACTGACCCTAGTAGAGCGGGCAAAGCCCACACCAGAGAGACGTCTACTAACTGAACTCTTATTTAGCCGATTCCATTCTGCACGATGACTGAAATTAGCTCTAACATTACAGATGATCCTATTTCCCACATCTCCGTCACCGACCATGAGCAAACGGAACCTAACGTGTTTTAAGTGTGACCAAGTGTTCTTAATTTTGATGCGAAGCCAACATCCTGCCAGTTTTATTGCCGGCAGCAATTAAAGTATGTTGCCTACTAGGAGGTGGTGGACTCCTTGTTCAGCATTATCTCAGCTTACTACTTATTCAAAAAGTGTCCGGGTTACCTGTCAAACGTCTGACTCCACCCGTGAGCTAGTTTTGGTAGTCATTGGCTTTGGACGCTATGGGATATCGTGCCGAATTTAATGACATGCCTCGTCTCAGGCCCATTGTAGAATAATAGGAATGGTGCCGTCCTGAAATATGCAGGCGACTATAGGCAGTGATCGTGAGGATAGTGACAGGAATGACGGCAGCTGTAGTTTCTAGGGTAGTGAGTGCGTCGTCAAGGTCGTCAGAAACAACAAGTGGGCCAGCAGTAAGTCAGTTTTCTGTCCCCTCATTATCACACTCCTTGAGCCAGCGTAAAATAACTCCTTTTGACAGGTTTTCCATGGCCTCCTCCGGTTCGGATGGTCGCCCAATGCATCCTGGCATGCACGTATCGCACTTACAAATGCAGCAACCGCCGCAGCAACAGCAGCAGCATCATGGACAGATGCAGCATCACGGCGTTCCAATGCAGCTGCCTGGCGGGCCAATGCCTGGTGGTCCCAGTGGGCAGGGTGTGATGCACGTGCCCTCCGGTCCTCGATTCCAAATGACCAAGGCTGCGTCAATACCGCATGCACAACCTGTGTCAACTTTTGCAAACATTCCCGGTGGGCCCAGTCGCGTAAGGGTCTCACTCCCCTTTTTTTTTACTATAAAACAGCTTTAAGACCGGTGTAAGTGAATTTGACTGAACTGTTTATGCTTTGGGAATTTGCTTCCATACCCTGACTAGACGGTGTATCAACTAGCGTTCGTGAATGCCCACGTTACGGGGCAACTCAGCGCTGCTTGTGCTATACGCGTCTGTGAGTAAACACTTTCGTCTCTCAACACTCCGTGCCTTCTTAGTAGGCAGTCACGGTTTAGTATTCGTGGATTCACTTATTCACGGATTTATTTTTTCTTGTAAGACGTATCCAATTATTCATATCGGTTATCCCCCTGTGAACATCTCTTTTTCTTTTAATATACAACCCGGGAACAGCATTTTCACAGTCGATAATTATTTTCATTTGTTTTTGTGACTAAATGCGTTTTTATGATGAAAAGTGTTAATATTAATGTGAACACGGCAACATAATAACAAAACGTCTTTTTTCTCAAGAAGCGTGTATTTTCAGTGTATATTTAAATACTCAGATACAGTACTTAGCTGTTCCCCGTACTTGTGAATGCACCAATGTTAGTCCTATATAATGTACACGTTATAAAAAACGGTAATGCCTAAATGTTGCATGAAATAAAATGTGCTTGCCTTATCATAGGGGTAACTTTATTAGTTCTCATCTTGGTAAGAGTAACAATTGCAGGTACTTTCACGCGTAGCTGTCATCCATGCATTTTTAAGGATAATGTTGTAAGATGACTTTGACGTAATAGTTAAGTGTTTTAGGACGATATTTTGAGGTAGCTGTAAGCGTTTTTAGAGGGGTCCCAAGTATTCGCCGGTGGCTGCGGTCCTTAACCCCTACGAATACCGGGGAGGGGGGGGGAGGTCGAGTGTATGACGTCATGTGTGCCACCGGATCCTTCTTTCTTAAGCTTTTCATGCTTTAGTCATCCTATTATTTCCTTCCGATTGTTGTACGAGACTCCTATTTAACTTATGAGGAATGCCAACTAATGTTCGTACACAAACCAATTGGATTCACGAGTGTCACAAATTTTCTCGAAGTAGATGACTGCGAGTGGGCCTTTATCCAATAAAATTCGTATTTTATGAGTAAACTTATCTATCGTTTATCTAATTTAGACGTGAACCTCATTTCAAATGACGCAAAAAGATGTCCTCTTTTCATGTTTGTGAAAACCGAATAGACGCATGAAGCATTTAATCACGCAACTTGGAAAAGTTCAGCGAGATTGGAAACCATGGCAGGAGAATCAAGGCTCTGGTAAAACCAGCACTCTAGCCACCTGACCTACGAGGTCCCGACCGAGAGCATTGTTGTTTTTTCACATTTGGGCAAAGTATGAAGTCTACCAATTATAATGCGGTAGGCTGACTGCCCGAGGCGGTTTATGTAAACAGTCGGTCTAGAATCTCCCAGTTTCGTTTTTTTAATAAGAGCATAAATCTTTGATGACAGGGGAAGACTAACATGCACCAGTGTTCCGTAATAACCATAATTTTCGGCCTCTACCTCGGCCTTTTTTGCATCAAAATTCATGCATCTCAAACATATATAATTGGCATGATCAGTCTCCCCAAGTCCTCCGGCTTACCTTGGTCTCTTTTCACTTTCAAACTGTCCACGCCTCGGTATGTCTGCATTCCCTGCCTACTTTGATCTCAATACGTATTCTATCGCCATCGTCACTATATAACCATATCTCTCACTCACGCAAAACTATAGGT